GGGAGCCCCGCGACCTAACAGGCTATGGACGGCGCAGAACACCCACCACCTGCATGTTCGTCTTAGCAGTGAACGACCCGAGCGTCGGTTCACCAACGACCGCTGTCGCACCAACCGCACTTCGGGGTCGGAGAGCCTGTGTGTGGACCGACGCGGCATTCTGAAATCCAGTCGGACAACCTGCACGCCGTACCACGGTATTTTCACCGACGTCCCATAAAAGGCCTGCAGGGTCGGAGGCAAAACTCGGTGCGCAGTGAAATTCAGGTTCCGCAAAAACAGGATAGGCGGTAGTGGTGATTTCTAAAGCACAAGTACCTTACAGAGCAGTCGTCCGAGCCTTTTTTTTATTTATTTTTTATTTTTTATAAAGGGCCCAGTGCCCAAGGCTTATATTACCAATAAGAACAGAGACCGGGGTCCTCACAGACTACCCGGTAAAGGAACCTTCTGGGAGCATTACCCAGTTTCGCTTACAGGGAGGAACCCTGCAGGGGATCAACCCCCTGGAAAACAAAAAAACACAAAGAACTAAAGGACTAAACCTTCTAATCCAAAAAAACCTGACTACGGCTAACCGAGTCCTATGCCCGAGACCTGTCAGCCCGTGGGCTGCCAGAAAATCGTAAACTGCTAGCCTGAGAGCTAGGACTCAAAATTGGAGTACAAAACCATGAGCTCCATCGTCTGCTGCTGAAGGTTGTTCCAAGTGCTTATAGAACATTGTCAAGGGTTATCCCTAAACCAGCCGAAAATCGGCCTGGAAACACTGTGTATATGCACGAAGCTGGGAAACGGGCCCAGCGTCCCCTTTGATTTCAGAACAACAGGTAGGAGGAGGAGAGTTTTAAGTAGGCTTCTGAGTTAGCCACGGGGAAAGTTCGAGACTCCCTTTGCTGCCAGGCCTGACCAGGCATTGCCCCTTGCCCCAGGTTTTCCAGAACCAGGCAGTGCCTTTCCTGGCTGATCCGCCCTTGGCCTTCCGAAACCAATCTGCCCAGATGCACTGTCGGATTGAAGCATGAATTGCTGTCTTAAGCAGCACGTCATCACAACGCTCTTGTCGAAATACATGTGAGTTCCTCTCGCCCCAGATGGTTGTCATCAGAATGCCCCTGAAGCATTGTGCCACGTAGCAGGCCGCTGAGTCACCCCTATTAGCGGCTGCTGGAATGCCCGAAAAAATGTACTCGTCTGACCACTCAGAGGTTGCCCAGGGGAGTTCCAACCAGTGGCTACGCCACCAGAACCAGATCCGTAAAGAGAAGGGACAATCCAACCACAGATGTCTGTTAGTTTCCCATGACGACTGACAGCGCGCACAGGTTATGGAAACTTCCATGCCCCTCGCTGTCAAAACAACCGCGGAAGCAATTACCAAGAGAGACTGTTGCCACAGTAAGCTCCCCAGTTTAACTGAGGGCAGAGATCTGAGCAGTTTCCAATGATTGACCTGTGTGTCTTTATCATAAGCGATGAGTGACTGTTCTTGCCCGCGTTTGCTCAACAATTCAAAAGGGCTATTCGCTGAGTGTTCCCTGAGGATACCAGTGCCTATTTTGGATGTGTACCGATGCATTGGGATCGCAGACTGTCCACAGCGAGTCGGAATTAGCCAGTGCCACCTCGTGGGATCTAATTTGAGTTCAACCAGGAGGGAGCCTCTGAATTTAACCAGAGGATGGGCTATTCCATGTTGAGCCGGATTTAGATCTACTTTACATTCCTCCAATAACAATTCCTGGGCGGAAGAACTCTCTGAGTCGAAACGGAGGAGAAAATCATCATCAGTTGCACTACGAACTGCCGACCAAGTCTGAAGAAGTGGACTGTTCTGGGCAACCCCTTCGATTAGCCTGTAGTACTTCTGCTCTGGGTTGTCCCCAAGAGGACGGTACCATCTGTCGTATTCCATTTGTTGATCCGAATTGAGTAGATCTATCCAATGAGAAGGGATAGCAGTCTGCGCAGTTTCACTCCTGCATCCCTCAGATACGGGAAGCGGTTTCTCAGATCTTGTTCTGTCAACCAGTCTGAGTTGTCCGTGCGTCTAATATCTCTAATGCGGAGAATGCCTCTTTCGATCCATCTTCGTGCAAATAAACCGGGTTTGCCGAGAAAGGTTCCCCCTTCTCATCCAATATGAACTTATTCTCAAAAAGCATTTCTTCCAATACCTCTATCCTAGAAGCCGGTTCCGTGTGGTCCGTTGGTTTAAGCTTTTTCCATGCGAACAGGACAGCATTCCAGAATCTAGATTTTGGGCGCCGGTTGGCAAAGGAATCCAGCATGAGGCACCGCCATACATCCGCGTGATTACTCAGGTTCCATTCTTTTCCCAATATATATTCCCCCATTGCAATCCACAATTTGTCTGATGTTTCCGAGAGGGCTCGAATTGGCCATCTGGCCAGTAAGGCCAAGTTCTGCCGTCTCGGGTCAAATATGCCTAGACTGCCTTCATCTCTGGGGAAGGACAGTGCTTCCCAGGCTACTTTGGCTAGATAGCCTTGGTCCTCATGTGCTGTCGGCTTCCACACTAGTTTCCTTGCCTTGGCTTTGATGGACCTGTAGGCTTTGTCTCCCAGCAGATGGATGGCTAAGACGAACCAGAGAGTTGAAAATGCAGCTGTCGTTATAAGGAGGGATCTACCAAACAAAGATGAAAGATACGGACGGTTCCACTTGGTTAGACGCGATGTTACTTTTTCTTCTAGTAGTTGATCCTGAAAGTCTGAGCAATCTGTAGCAGCTACTTGGACTCCTAGGAAACATTCGGATGAGTCACCTGGAATTGCTTTCATGCCCCAATCTACGCACAGCTCATACGGGGGGGGCAATAGGTATGAGGTTTTGGGACCAATTGACCGATCCCTCCGAAAGTTCGCAGTATGTCGCTAGGACGTTCTGCACTTCGGCCAACACCCTCGGGTCATTTTCTGCACACACTGTAAGGTCGTCAGCAATAGCTCTAATTTTCCACTTGAGTCCCCTGCTGATCCTGAGACCTGAGATCTGAGGGTTGAATCTGAAGTTATCCAGCATAACTTCGAGGTGAACTACAAATAGCAAGGGCGTCAATGGGCAACCCTGGTGTAGCGATCGGGTGAGGCGGAAGGAGTCGGATTTTTGACCGTTTATCATAACTGCCGTGGTCGCTTTAGAGTACATTGCATGCACCCATGAGCAGATATTCGGGCCAAAACGCATATGTCTCAGGGTAGTTTGGACGAAAGTCCAACCTACCTTGTCGTAGGCTTTCTCCATGTCAAGGAGAATAACAACAATGTCTCTCCTCTCTTTAACTATGATTTCGATAGCCTGCGCAGTAGTGACGATGTTGTCATGGATCGACCGACCTTTCACAAACGCTCCCTGTTCCTGGCCTGTTAGGAGAGGAAGGTAGTTAGCCAATCTGAGGGCAATAGCCTTTGGTAAAAGCTTGTAGGCAGCGTTCAGCAGGGAGATTGGCTGCCAGTTGCGAATGTCTTTTTTGCTGCCTTTCTTGTAAAGCAGAGAGATAACTCTGGCTACCATAGAGTTGGGGAGAGGGTGACCATCGAGAACCTTGTTGAAGATACCGGTAAGTAACGGACCGAAAAAGCTCCAAAGGGCTATAATGCACTCAATTGGCAGCCCATCCGGGCCTGGGGCTTTGCCCTTGGCCATCGCATGTGCCGCCCCTTTGAGTTCCTCAACAGTATGGAGCCTATCCAGGTCCAGGGCCGCGTGCAATGGGAGGTGTCCGTCGGAGAATTCTCAGAAATTCGATTGGTCCCTGAGGCCTGTGAACGGGGTGTCATAAGGGCGACGAGTAGTGAGTATATCGCTGAAATAGTCTTTAGCATACTTACACATTTGGATTGATGTTTCTGCGATGGGAGCTGTCAAAGAGA